CCCCCGGACAACTATCCTAGGGGGTAGTTGTCTGGGGGACATTTGTCCGGGGGTAGTTGTCCTAGAGTGTGGTTTCCCTAGGGGATAGTTGTCTGGGGGTAGTTGTCCGGGGGTAGTTGTCCTGGAGGGTGGTTGTCCTAGGGGTAGTTGCCCGGGAGGTTGTCCTTGGGGTGAGTCGTTCTAGAGGGTGGGTGCCCTAGGGGGTAATTGTCCTAGGGGGTAGTTGTCCTAGAGGGTGGTTATCCGGGGGGATCCGGGGTGGTTGTCCAGGGGTAGGTGTCCGGATATGGGGAAATCCGTCCGTCGTTACCATGTTTTTACTATCTGCTGGTTACATTAATATCATTGAGACCAGGTACGTTATCGAACCAATCTGTTTTCCAACCGATTGGACATTTGGTAAACGCTAAAGAATATGGAAATTTGTATTAACAAGGGTTTCTTTTCTGCCTATCACAGTTACTACTGTTATTTCTGGAGATGATCGAGCTATAGTAATAAACCACGAATCAAAGGTAACAAATCGTCTTGATTTTTGATGGTATGAATTTAATTCTGATGTTGTTTAAAGGTACAATGTCCCATTTGCAGGCCCAAAAAATGAAAAAGTTAAATTCCAACTGCATTTGAAAGATAATACTAATTTAGAACTTCCCTAAAAAAGGTGGGGCTTGAAAATGTCTTCAAGTGGGAAAATAACAACTATTAGTTGTCAAATCGACTTTAGGGCTATAGAGCCCAAAAGTAATAGTCTTGATTTTCAGACAATTGTACCGAATGGTCATACGTTTTATGCTGCGCAAAGATTCAATCAGTTTAATCTTGGCCATCACAAGAAGTGGGTTATTGATGTAGACAAATGCTCATGTACCCTTTACAACTCTTTTCATGTATGTTATTACCAAAGAAGAAAAAAAAGCCAGTCAGTCACTCAATAGTGTCTGACAGTGAAGTCTAGCAAGTATACAGGTTTCCTTGCATAATTTGAATATGAGGACACTGCTAACGTTTAAATTTCACAGATAGGACATACATGACATATTCATAATTCCTGCAAAGTTCTACAGCATTTGAGGTTGGCTGCAAAAGGGACATAGTACCTTTAAGGGATTATTAATTTGTAAAACTGGGTAGGACTATAAGTTTTAATCTCATGTTTCGCATTCTTCATGTGCTTCCTCTTCTTCTTTTTTTCTTCTAATATTCTACTCTTTTCTTCTCTCTCTCTCTTTCTCTTATAATATGCTTTAAAGGTACTATGTCCCTTTTGCAGCCAACCTCAAATTCTGTAGAACTTTGCAGGAATTATGAATATGTCATGTATGTCCTATCTGTGAAATTTAAACGTTAGCAGTGTCCTCATATTCAAATTATGCAAGGAAAACCGTTTACTTGCTAGACTTCACTGTCAGACACTATTGAGTGACTGACTGGCTTTATTTCTTCTTTGGTAATAACATACATGAAAAGAGTTGTAAAGGGTACATGAGCATTTGTCTACATCAATAACCCACTTCTTGTGATGGCCAAGATTAAACTGATTGAATCTTTGCGCAGCATAAAACGTATGACCATTCGGTACAATTGTCTGAAAATCAAGACTATTACTTTTGGGCTCTATAGCCCTAAAAGTCCAATTGAATGTAAGCTAATTGCCCCGACCCAACACTACTTTGAAAGCATGTATATTCCTGGAACACGTTTTCAAACGAACTAGAACTTTTGGTTACCTTTTTCTTTCATGAATTCATTTAATGTACGTTGCATTTTACCTTGAACTGTTTGCATGTTTTTAAACTGAAGAATGAATAAAGAAGGAACTGAACTTAACTGAACTATACTTTAGGAGGTCCATGAACTACTTTGAAAGCATGTATATTCCTGAACACGTTTTCAAACGAACTAGAACCTTTGGTTATCATGCTTTGCTATAGTTGAGGGGCAGCTGGGAAAACATGTTTCAATTAAGTTGTTTTCTGTCTGCCTGGTATATGATGACTACTTCGAAATACAGAAATTTTTGGAACGCTTTTATTTTTCGAATAAACTTGGTGTTAATAATGCTTCACTAGAGTTAGAGAGTGTAAAAATACTTGTCATTGAGCATTTGTTTCGGTTTTCTTCTTCTTCTTCTTCTTCTTTTATAGAATTCCTACCAAGAATTATAAAGAAATGGATATATATACATTCCTAATCTGTTATGTGTGACATTTTTGAAGCTGAGTACTATATTCCTTTTTTGTCATTCTTAAAAAAAAATCTCTCTTGCCAGGTTGTTCTTTGCGTTGTACATGAGTATTCTAGATTTCCTACGACGTCATTAGAGAACTGGGAATTGAGCAATTATTGAAAATACTGAGCGTATCAATCAATAATTAAGTCTGATTTAATCACTGTGAGAAAAAAATCTTAGAAAGAGAATGTTTACAAGTACGAGCATATTGAAAGCTTCAGATTTTATTCCCAGTTCATGTTTGTTTAGTCACTATTGCGACCATTATACAAAATAAGGGAAGTTTAAATAAATTTCTTTAGATACAAATAGAAATGTCTATGTATTCCCTATACCATGATACAGGGTAGCACATAGTACAATGAACTTGATCTTGTATGGGGCCCTGCAAGTGAAAAAAGACGAAAAGTTAATTGGGGTTACATACCAGAGGCGGTCATGGTGGTGGATCGTCTTTCATAATGGGGCGCCAAAAAGGGGGACTTTTTTTTAATAAAGGAGAATCTACAAAGGGTAACCAAAAAGTGGAAATTCAAATTTGAGACATTGGTATACAACCGAGCCAGCGTTGTAGTCAAGGCACAAACCCTCAAGGCCTAGGTTTTAACCAGCAAGTCTAAGGCTAAGGCAAAGGCTTGAAAACTCAAAGCCAAGACTTAAAGATTTAAATTTAACATTCGAAGACTGGGGTTTGCACAAAAAAAAGATACAAAGAGAATGTGCTTTTATTATTTAAAAAAGAGTTTAGGCGCTGCCTTCCAGAGAGCAATAACAAATGGTAGCAGATTTCTTTCCTTTTTTTCAAAGTGGGGACGTCGCCCAAAATGGGCACCTCTTTGAAAAACTAAATAGGTAGCACTCTAAAAATAGGATGGTAATAACAAGACTGCGACTGGGTCTACAATTCAAATACCTCCATTTGTATCATTTTTGAATCAATCAGTGGTCATTTACATTGTGCCTTTTGACTTTTTAAAATAAAAACGTAATGAATCTTTTAATACTCTGTTAAAATTCTTTTCCCATATAATCAATGTTTTTGCACCTTGAGAAGGATTACACTGAATAATTGATCAATTTACCGTATGATACAAAAATACAATATTCTACTAATTACTGCTGTTAGCATGAGTCCACGTAACTGTTCATGATTATGATAATATAGACATACGACAAAATGATTTCTAATTTATATCACATTTTTATACAATAATGTAGTAGAGAGAATCTTTACCTTTGTTGATTAGATTTTAAAGAAATGCAAAGACCGATACTACACAGGTAGTCCACTCTTTTTCTTTTCATATCACATGTATGAGAGGAGGCGCGATGGCTCAGTGGTAGAGCAGTGGTCTCGTAACCAGGAGGTCCCGGGTTCGAAGCCAAGTCAGTGCGCTCGTGCCCTTTATTAAGGAATTCATCCTCATTAACAAGTACATCGGTGAAGACTTGAAGCCGCCGGTCCACTTGTTGTTTACTTAGAAACATATACATGCTTTCTTAGCAGTCAGGTAAAACAATCATCATGATGCAAAATAACTTTACGTTTAATTCCATGAGCTGTCGCAGCCAACGATAATATATTGCGGTTTTTTTAAACTCAAAACAATACGATGTTTCTCAAAACTGGCAGTAGTTTCTGTAGTTCAGGGCCCTGTTTCATTAAACTTGATATCAATGACAAGTTGTTTTTTTCTCTTATCCTCAAGCGAGGTTTTTATTTCCATAATAGTAATACATATGTACATTAATAACTCGATGGTTGAGTGAAACTTAACATAGTCTAAAGATTAAAGTACATTCAACAATTCTTCCAGCTTAGTATTATTTTCTTTGGTAACACATTCATATCTTTAAAATAATGTTAGCAACGACTTGAATTAAAAAAACAAAGTATGTGGGTAGTAAACAGAACCATTAACAATCTTCTTAACGTCTTAACAATCTTCTTATCCTGAAAACGAGATGAATTCCTACCTTAAGTTTTATGTACAATAAATCTTACGAATGTGTACAAGAAATATATAAATGAAGATTTCGTGGCATGGGTAATGCATTTTAGCATGACGTGGGCGCAGCCATTTTTAATCTTTTTTTTTTCTTTATGTGTTTTATTGAACAATCAAAAAATAATCACAGTATTTACAAGTTATTATAAAAACATTACAAAAAAGCAGTAAAACGCAGATCAAAACCTCACGAAAATTAAATTTACAACATTTACAACATTATAAAACAGGATTATAAGACAAACTTCCATTTTTTAAAGTGCAAGGGCAGTTTGTTTTTCTTTTTTGCAATACGATATTCAAGAACTTTATTATAGTCAATGTAAGTTCTGAAACCCTGAAAATTGGGTATTTTACTTTGAAATTTGCATAAATAAATGTAGTATTTAAGCATAAGAAATAAATACGTCAAAAACATATCCTTTTCATAGCCAAACATTCTTTCAAATATTGAAAAATTCACTACTTTATTAATTTTCTGATTAATAGTTTTAATGGTATCATCCCAAATGGGTTTTACAGTCTGACATTTGATGAAAAGATGTAGGTAAGTCTCGGGTTCATTATCGCAAAATGAACAATTAGGAGAATTCTTTCGTTTAATTTTGAACAAGAATTTATTTAAAGCTATGGCTTTATGAGATAGTTTGAAATAAAATGAACGAATGCGAGTGCTTATAGAACATTTGAAATTATCAATATGAATCTTGTCCCAATCAACAGGGTTAGAGTCAGAATGTTCTTTCCAGAATGTTAATTTCTTTTCGGGAACATGTGGTTCTAGTATGACATTATAAGCATATTTGGGAACCTTCCTAGCTTGCAGCCATTTTTAATCTTTGTGGTTTGGTTTACATTTCCGCTGATGATCGTGGCGATAGCAACATCAGCACTGATTCTCTCAGATCCATTTCATTTTCTACACAGACAGGTTTTATAATGATGGTTATCATTATCGCTGTAGAGGTATTGCGGTCTTGTTGATAAGTCTCCAACCTGTGAACCACAGGGTTAGGGGATTCGAATCCTGGCCAGGAACGGACGTCATTTGGCAAGATGATGATCGACATTTGCCACACTCAACCCAGGTGAAGTAAATGGGTACCCGGCAGGAATTGAATCCATAAAATGCCAGAGTAAGAGTAGCAATTTTTTTTTCAGTACTATGATTTTCATCATTATCATTATTGTTATTTATTTTGTCATACCGGCTCTTAACATATGAGTTGATGGCTTAAAGCAGAAATTCCTTGTCTTAGGCGAAGAGGGCGCCCGTTGTTATCGCGAGGATGATGGTGGTCCCCAGGAATGCACCGATATCAATGAAGAGGAACACGCGAGAAATAGTCCCGTCTCCCTCCTGCACATGAGTGAGAAGACAAAAGCGAATGATTATGTTATTCCATTTTGTGCATGTGTTAAATTCATGACTAAAAATATCTATATTTCGTGAAGGTGCATGAATGCAGTAATCATGTACATCGATATAACCGAGGCACAGACATCACAAAATCAATGACTCGGAGGGTGAAACGGTATCAAAGCATACACAAGAAAAGTAAGTGGATGATATCACACATGAATCAGATATAGCGATGTCCATTTTTTTTCCTGTCATGGACAAAATCAAACTTTTCATATTCCACAAGGTTATTTTGACCCGCTCTCTTTAATTATACACAGTCGTCTATCAATGCTTCAATTCTTAGAGATTGCCTTTCACGTATTTCTGTTCACAGTGCTTCTTTACCGCTATCTTATTCACCTAAAATTGATGCTGATTTGTGGTCAGTTCCTCTTGACGGGGCATGAAATGGAAGAAGGCTAAATTAGAAAAGAAGTTTGAAATAAAAATGAAGACTCGGAAAAGGCGCTAACCATGAGCGTGAACAAGGACACAAGAGGATAGAAAGATTTGGAGAAATTTGCAAGTATGAACTGATATCCCAAAGACGACGGAAAGATAACTTTTCTCACCTTCATGTGTCCTGGTTGATCCTTGGGGTAGAAGCGGTAGATGAGGCCGTTGATGATGATGACGACGGCGTTGATGAGCATCCCACCGATGAGGAACCGACCAAGTCTGGTCATCGAGTAGGCGGGGACCTCTGCACTCAGCGCTGCCGACAACACCACCAAAGCGACAAAGACGAAGCCCGCAAAGATGATTCGTTCTCCAGCCGACGACGGCCCAATCAGGAAGACGACGAGGATAAGCCAGGTGGCGATCACGGCGGAGGCAATACGACCGTGACTATCTCGTCGTCGGACGGTCAGATGGAATGAGATGTCCTCGTAAACTTCTTTGCAACATGGATACCTGACGACGTTCTTAACGGCTGATGTGTTTACGAGTTCCCACACAGGGTGGGCATTGTAATCTTCCAGATCAATCGTATCCGACGCTGGCGTAACAGATATTCTCATGCTGTCAAACACCCATGATCCCAATTTTAGGCGGCAGGTCTATATGAATCAGGAAATTAAATTGACATTAATGCTAAATATATTATTCATTGCGGATATAGTATCGAAAATAATATCGCTAGTGACATTCGTTTGTCTCGCAATGTAAGGTGAAAAAGGGATCTAAAAGATCACGACGTTTCTTGTGCCGCAATCAACACTTCGTCAGGTGATAAAATATATTGTAAGCAAGCGTGCACCCACAACAAAAAGTGAGTCATTTGACACATTTAAGCATAATTTTCGTGAGTCAGGTGTAAATTGACTCATTAGTAACAACCAATGAGTCTCTATTGACTCATTTATATTTCACCGGTGTGTCAATCATGAGCTGACGCATTTGCAAAATGCTTCGACTGACTCACATGGTCGTAAAAAATGAGTCAAGATCGACATAAGAGCATTTTAGAAGAAAAAAGTGAGTCAACTTGAAAGTGAGGCTGTATGCATGCGCGCGCATGCTTTCGTGACGTCATCCAAAATGCGCATTCTCGAGCCATATTTGAATTCCCGATCGACGACGCGACGTCGCCATCTTATATCTTGGATTCAGAAGAGTTTTGACTGCAGCTAGTGAAAAATTGGTACGCATAATTATTCATATGGTTTTAAACGATGATTTTTATGACTGGATTCGTGGGCTGAATCTTCTGATTAGTATACAAATGATGCATGCGTTCATTTTACGATATCCGCACTCGAGTTGATGAGGCTGTGTGTAACTTAACTATAGATTCTGTATCGCACGAAGCCGTGTCGAATGAAAACATGCATGATCTTGCATTATTGTTTTATACAACGAAACTCCTAGATCCTTGTTATTTGATGTAAAACGAATTAATTCAAGATTGTTTCGTGACAGTATGGGTGACAAATAAATCTCAAGTTAAGGCTTAATTTAGTGCGTACAAAGTAGATTTTTCAGATTCGGGTAGCGGGACCACCGATTACATCGCTAAAATGTGATATTTCAGGATATATTTTCCATTGCAAATGTGGACAGTGACTCTGGCATGGTATGGTATGTGTGTGATAGGCCTAGGGAGTAGGGGGGTCTATGTCATGATGCACCCACAACAAAAAGTGAGTCACCCTTACTCAAATTGATGAGTCACTGGTTTGTCCGTACAGCGAAACACTTGAAGGATCATGTGAGTCACTATGACTCGATACAAATGAGTCTTATTTATCTAAGACTCACTTGTATCGAGTCATAATGACTCACATGATCCTTCAAGTGTTTCGCTGTACGGACAAACCAGTGACTCATCAATTTGAGTAAGGGTGACTCACTTTTTGTTGTGGGTGTGTTTTATACGGGTGGACCGGCGGACAAACGAATGTCACTAGCGGTATTATTTTCGATATTTTGACATTGGTTTAATGCAGATGGTGACATTAAAGGTCGGTCCCCAGACGTAAATAATCATATCTGATTGATACGCGTCTGTAAAAAGCCACATACACACACACACACACACACACGCACACACACACACGCAGTCCATGAATCCTATATATATATATATATATATATATATTTGTACTTGTCAATGTCTCATCCAAAAAGTGACATAGGAGGGGGGGGGCCATAGTTTATTTTTGCAAAACCGTCCTTGTATTTACCCTTTTTCATCTTTTTATTAATTAGATCTATATGAATAACTCTTTATTTTTGTTTCATGAATTATGTACATCGAAAAGAATTATACGACATGACGCGTTCGCAGCTATTTCTTCAATATGATGAATTCCAATATGAATAACCAAACACGTTTGGTACGAGGATGATTTCACTGCCATGGATGCTCGCTTTCAATTTGCTTATATCCTAAGAGATTATCAATGAATGCAGTTTTAAATCTGGTACATAAAATGATGTAGAGTCCTTTAAGAGGGCATAAGGGGCACGCCCCCTGCCAGAATATCTTCTTCTTGATACATTTGCGTACTCCTGGCCGAATTTGTGTTTCCATTTTCAATTGTATGATGTGCGTGCAAGTATCAAAGTACTTCTGAAGACTTGGCTTCACAATTTCAGCTAAAGTTTTCAGGGTTACACCATGTGATTCTTTCATAATCAGAGCCATAAAAAGGGGCTGTGAGCTCAGCTGATAGCTCTTTGGCTCTCTAATGGCTCTTATTCCTTTGAAAGGATTTCATGGAGTTAACCCCAAAACCTACAACTCAGTTTCTCCACCATGAAAAATCATCGCTGATACTCATGGAACTATTTGATCATTTTGTTTTCATTTCTTACGTGGCTGTCGTAGGGATAGTCCTTCAAGTCGAGGTCGCATGCTGCTTCAATAGCCACGGGTGGAAGATAGTACACGGTACCATCGCTGTACACAAGAGCTGAAATATCATCGGACAGTGCCTTACTTGGGGAGTGGCTGTAGGAGAACGAAACGAAAACATACTACATCAAATAATGTAATCGTCGAGTTTCCACGGAAGCCCATTAGTGCCACCATGTGAAATTACAATTTAAGAGGGATTAACTGGCGGCTGGCAGATAATTAATATAGTACAGGATTGGAACAGGTATAGCCCTTTTAGGTTCTAGGAAAATGTTACGCCCTGGGCAATCACCCCCCCCCCCCCCCCCGGCCAATAACCAGCGGGACAATTACCCCCAAGCACAATTATCCCCCGGAAAATTACCCCCCGGAAAATTACCCCCGGAAAATTACACCTCGAGGACAACCCCTCCCCCTCCAGGACAATTACCCCCCCCCCCCCCTGAGGACATTCCTTTTAAATTTTAATTCACATAGTGGCACTGATGGGCTTCCGTAGGTTTCTGAGCAATGGACGTTCTCCTGGTATCCCCCTGACCCTGCATTCAGATTACCTGAATTAATCGTATTGCAATACGAGAAGAATGTCGTATCGAGAAACGTTGTATGATGGGTGACCAATTAGTTCGCGGAGATTTTTAAAAAATATTAGAAAATGTGATATTCGATCTATGATTTCTCATTTTCTACACAAATTAATTTAGTTTAATTATTACCAAATGGACTGCAAAGATTATTACAAATTGGTGCAACTAGAATATTTATCTTCAAATAATTCCGGAGACCTCGCGATCTCGAAATTCGATGTCGGATCGGAATGTGTTGCACCTAAAGAAAAAGTCATCAAAAGAAATTATAACAAGCAATCAATGAAATATATGATAATTGCATATTTTGCAAGGCAAAATATTTTACAATCAATTGGTATCACTTTTTAATGACATCTGCTCTGAAAAAAGGATTTCCAGCTCCTTGTCGGTAAGTTCAGAACGGACGCAAAAGACTGCAAGATTAGCCGATCTTTTGTCGAAAATATTCACCCAATTCAATAGAAAATTCTTCCCTGTGTAATGTGAGGTTCCTCTTTCCATTGGTGGTATTAGATTTTCGACATCTTGCCGATTTTTTGAGATAGCGAACTAAGGTCCCGCGCGAACTATGGTCACACCACCACATAACGAATCGTATAGCGAAGTACATGTTTGTTCTAAACGTCGAATCGTACGAAAATCATGTAAATGATGATTGGCTAGGTTTAATGCCAAGTTGCCAACTGACTTTAAAAATAGTAGTTTCTTTACACGACGTTTCTTTAAACGATGTTGTTGTCCAGTCTTTACGGTCCTTTCGATATACGATGACCCTTTGTATGACGTTTCTTTATTCAATAGGCTTCCGTCAAGGCTTCCGTCAAAGAATTCCGTCAAAGCAAACGCTGTCAACGTTGGATTATAATTCAGTATTGTTTGCCATTGCCTTATCATCGACTTAATCTTTGATTCACCATTGACTTTCACCGTCTGACGTTAAGTATAGGCCTATGCGTATTTATTATTGAGAAGTTTGTTGATATGAAAAAAAAGAAATGGAAAAAATAAACGTTACTTTGAATTGAAGAAGAAAAAAAAGGAACTTAGGCCATTACAAAAAATATACATGTTTAGCGTCCCCGCCCGCTTTAAAAAACAAAAACATGAAAAACACTGGATTTATTTCTGATTAAATTTTTTTTTTTAAATCGGCGGCCATCTTGAAAAATAGCCCGACTGTCAGGGAAAATGTTACGAGCGGCCATTTTGAAGAAGAAAAAAAAAGTGCCTCCTCCCTATTTTTCAAAAAAGCAGGACGCAAAAGATTTTTTTATTTATTTGGCCTTACCATTGATTGACCATTGATTTACCGTTGACTAATCATTGGCTTACCATATACTCACCGTGCAATTGTATACATACCTGTTGTAAAGAGTGATGTCTGGCACAAAGACCTCGGAGGAATGAACGCGGAAGATAGAGATGTTTCCATATTCAGCCGGATCCCACTCTAAACGCGAATCCATCCACAACTGAACAAAGATGATGATTAGTGATAAAAAAGGAATTTCATTCAAGCGATTACAAAGTGAAATGCCCTGAGTGTACATAGTTGTTCTCATTTTTTTAAAAAGATAAGCATTAAGAGGTTGACTTGGTGTATTGGGACCAATAACAACGCTATATCATATTTTAAAAGAGGTAAGTCTAAAACGACAAACTTACTTGCATCGTCTGCTTTTAAAAAGCCTATCTATATTTCACCAGGGTGTGTTTTTAAAGGAAATTGGCACTTCCCTTCAGTTGGATGTGTTGGGGATGTGGGCATTCTTACTACCACTACTAATACTACTACTACTACTACTACTACTACTACTACTACTACCCCTACTACTACTCCCACTCCTACTACTACTACTAATACTACTACTACTACTACTCCTACTACTACTACTACTACTACTACTACTACTACTACTAGTACTCCTACTACTACTACTACTACTACTACTACTACTACTACTACTACTCCTACTACTACTACTACTACTACTACTCCTACTACTACTACTACTACTACTACTACTACTACTTCTACTACTACTATTGCTAATAATAATAATAGTAATAATGATAGTATACTGCTACTACTTCTAATACCAATACTATTAACATTAGGCATATATATATATATATATATATATATATATATATATATACTATTGTATACCGCATATGAAGAATATGGACCGGACATAGTTCTACTTGTGCTTAAAGTGCAAGGACGCAATGGTTGCTTTCCTGCAAATAAATACATTTTTTCTGAGAATTGAAACAGGGGATGCGCTATATAAAAACAAATATTGATATTTTTTTTTCGGGTCACGGTCAAAACTATTGCTCCTAGGTGATCTCGAGACTGCACAATGCCATCGACATCGTCACGGGCCACAGTGCAGTTTCGAGCTCACCTTGGGCAATAGTTTTAACCATGCTCCTAAAAGCAGTCATATCCATCGCGTAACAAATTTAGGTCTCTGATTTGTCAAAAATACAGGCGTGAAATACGCTACTGGTTGCTGGGTAGTATAGCGAAAAATAGACTGGTTATAGTTTTGATTGTGCGTACTATGCAAGGACGCAATGGTTGTGCATGAAGTTAACACTGACACTCAATACTTTTAAACAAGTAAATGTCCCTACAAATAAAAATACATTTTGACAGCCAGTTTTGGCACAAATTTATTTTATGAGAGTTGACCCGAGGGATGTTGTGGTCCACAACCTTTAGCTGTTTCCACAGTTCATACTTGTAATATGAGGGTATTTAAAGAGCCATCCTTTTGAGTGAACAAATTTTTTTTAAAGCCTCACAATTTACTTTCACCTTTCCGGGAACTTAACCTTAAAAGTATAAGCTATAATGCCGGCAAAACATATTTAGGCAATTTGAGTTGGTATATTACATATTTGGATGACGTCATGTATTTGTGTTTTCTGTCGTTTTGACTGAAGCTGTATATTCATTTGACTTACCATTTTTAACCATGAATTCATTTTAATGGATCCTTGAAAAAAATCCTGCATAGACAAATGAAAGGGGAAAGAAAAGACTGCTGTAATAAGATTGAAATATTTGATGTCTATTTGAACATGTCGACATTGAATCTACTACAACAACATTTTTTTAAAACTATGATTTGTAGTGAATCATTCGGACAAAATTTAAATCTCGTCTATCCATGTAAGCCCATTATATTACATGATATGATCGAGATTTCAAAAGAGCACACCTTCAAATGACATGAATACCAACATAGCAATATTAATTCAATGCTTAAAGAGAACCAAAGTAATTTGTGTACGGCTAGAATGTACAAAATCAACCTAAAAATGTTCAACCAGGATTGTCTGGATTAAAGAGTCTCATTAAAAGAAGTAATGACATACAACCGCTCACACTGAACCCAAGTCGGAATCGGGTTCAGTTCGGACCCTGTTCTATTCTCTTTGCAGAAGTGATATCTAGAGCTCATGTTTTAAATCGTATCCGGACACCTACCACCTGGACATCCACCCCGGATAACCACCCTCTAGGATGATTACTTCCCTAGGACAACTACCCCCGGACAACTACCCCCTAGGACAACTAACCCCGGACAACTACCCTCCAGACAACTGCCCCGGACAGCTACCCCAAGACAACTTCCCCTAGGATAGTTGTCTGGGGGTAGTTGTCCGGGTGGTTGTTGTCCTAGGGGGTGGTTATCCTAGGGGGTGGTTTTCCTAGAGGTGGTTATCCGGGGATGGTCGTCCTAAAACCCCTGAAATATATGTGTGGAATGTTATGTTTGTGTTCAACCGGACATTTATTACAGCTTGCCCAAAGCTCAGGCGTAATACCATTTCTAAATAATGGTGCATAATCAGATTGGTCAGCCTTAAAACCCAACAACAACAACAACAACAACAACAATTATCAGAAGGAGCACTGTCAGTGGATGTCTTCAACATTGTTTCACAAAAATGTATCTTGAAAATAAAGACTCAATTAATTTGGGCAACCGAAGAGAGTCGCCCCACATTGTTGTAAGTACATGTAAGCCCGTTTTAATAATAGAACCCCCCCCCCCCTGAATTCAAGACCGATTTAAGACCGTTTACAGAGGTCTGATTCTGATGAATGCCCGTAATAAGATTCGAGACAAAATTAAGGTCGGTTTCTAGTTGTTGTCTATGTCACAAATCCCACCCCCCCCCCTCCCCTCTACCAAAGATCGAATTACGATTTTCTTTTATCCAAACATCAAATGAGATAATTTCAAGATATATCGAGAAAAATGGAGATCATAAATAACATAGAATCGAGTCGATTTGTGAGGGATTTTCACGGTGTAGCATTATGTTGATCTCCAAATTATAACTGATTGGAAGGAATAAACTTACCATTTCTCTCAGGTTACTCAAACTCATTCGGATATTGACCTCGAGACTCTCGTCGTGAGTAGGAAGAAGACGCTTGTCATAGCTGGAAAACAGATCCGCTTTCAAACGAGTTTCAACTGCTTAAAATAGAATGGAAAAAACAGAAAAAAGCATAATGTAAACGAAAATTACTACCAAGCATGGAAGATACCAAATACCAGAAAAGAACGAAAAAAGTGGGAAAAGCATAATGTAAAAAAATGCATTACCAAACTTGGAGTGAATTCACATAAAAGTTAGCATAGGAGATACAAAATACCAGAATAAAACGAAAAAACAGAAAAAGCATAATATAAAAAAAACTATTACCAAACTTCGAGTGAGTTAACATAATAGGAAACACGGTAGATACAAATAACAAAACACCAACATATTTCCCCACAGTATGTTTGAAGGATATGAAGAATGTTTTTATGAGATGGGGGGGGGGGGGGTAGACGATTATATGACTGTGCAATGCAATGAAATGAATATTCCTTAGGAAAACACGAATGTATAGAAAGGAATACTTATTCTGTGAAAAATCGACAACATCGAAAGCTAACTACAAGATAATACAAAATGAAACCGAAATAATTCAATTCTTTTCAAGAGTATCACGCGGATATCAGGCGCGATAGCTCAGTCGGTAGAGCAGTGGTCTCGTAATCCGGTGACCCGGGTTCGAAACCAAGTCGATGCGCTAGTGCCCTTTGGTAAGACATTAATCCTCATTACCAGGTCCCTCGGAGAGGACCTAAAGCCGTCGGCCGTCTGGTTGCTTACTTACAATCATTTATGCTTTCTTATAGCAGTCAGGTAAAATAACCACCACCACCACCAAACTCACCCTGGTTAGCGGTTGTCCTTGTTAACATTCCCATGAAGAACAACATTAACGATCCCATAGAGAACTTCATGACTGAGGATATTATCTGAGAAGAAAATTTAAAATATGATGATTTTAAAAAAAAGGAAGATTACAATAATAACAAACTTTTCTTTCTTTCAACTTTTTCATTTGGATTATAACGAAAACATCTTTATACGTGACACTCCATTCTCCGACCTACTTCTGTAACAGCGTCAAGTTTGGATTAGCCCATATCAAAATGTCTCAAAAAAGACACTTTCGATGTCTTTTGTTGTTTCCATTATTATCAGTAACATATGGGACATCAAAATTACCAAATACCATGAACTTGCCCTTTTTATATCAACAATTGAAATATAGCAAACTTACTTTGATCTCTGGAAGCTTGGAACATGTAAGTGAGAGGACGTGTGTCGAAATCGGAGACTGCGCAACAAACGCAAATGGCTGTCGAGTATATAGCTGCGAGAACGCAATAACATAATGTCATTACAAGACATAATGTGCCTGCATGTGTACGTGACTTTGAGCGGTCTAGTGTCAACATAAAAGGGTGAACTGGCTCTGATAGGAAATCCGTTCGTCGTTACCATGTTTTTACTCTCTGCTTGTTACATTAATATCTTTGAGACCACTGACCAGGTACGTTCTCGGAACATTCTGTTTTTCAATCAAGTAGACCTTTGGTAAGCACTAAAGAGTATGGACATTTTTATCAACAAGGGCTTCTTGTCTCAGTTGTCTGACTATCACAGTTACTACTTTGAAAGCATGTATATTCCCGGAACTCATGTTTAAATCAACTAGAACTTTTGGTTATCATGTATTGCTACAGTTGAGGGGTATGAAATAGATTTATTTAGATACAAATAGAAATGTCTATGTATTCCATATACCATATGATACAGAGTAGCACATACAGTAAACTTGATCTTGTATGGGCCCTGCAAGTGAAAAAAGACGAAAAGTTAATTGCATGAGGTTACATACCAGAGGCGGTCATGGTGGTGGAGCGTCTTTCAAAATGGGGCGACAAAAAAGGGTAATTTTTAATAAATGGGAATCTACGAAGCGTGACCACAAAGTGGAAAATACAAATTTGAGACATCGGTATACAACCGAGCCAGCGTTGTAGTCAAGGCATTCACAAACCCTCAAGGCCTATAGGTTTTAACTACTAAGAGTCAAAGACCAAGGATAAGACAGAGGCTTGAAACCTCAAAGCCAAGACTTAATTTGTTTTAATTAAATCTGGGGTTCACTCCAAAAAGACACAAAGAAAATGTGCTATCATTATGAGAGTATCGGCGCTGCCTTGAAGAGAGCAATAACAAATGGTGACAGATTTCTTTTTTTCTTCTTCAAAGTGGAAACGTCGCCAAAAAAGGGGCACTTCTTTGAAAAGCTAAATAGGTAGCACCAGTGGCGTACCTGGTATGCCTCGTCAGGGGGGGGGGGGGCGATTTGGACGAGCAAGGGGATTTTGTGGGTGTGGAATGGGGTTAAGTTGACTAGGGAGTGTCCCAATGAGACAGTAGGTGTCTTGTTGATATTAATATTTGCGATCGGGCGATTGCATATCTGTGGTCTACTTTGATTTAAATGAAAAAGTTGTCATTAAAAAAAAATTAAATGTATTGAATTTTGACAAAATCAGTGGTTAACTTATCACTGGTAATGACAATGTTTCTATTAACGTACTTCTATTATTCCTCTTTGACAAGTACCTCGGTGAGGATTTAAAGCCGTTGGTCCTCTGGTTGTTTACTCAGAAACATATACATGCTTTCGTAGCAGTCAGGTGAAACAATCATCATCATCATCATCATGCAAGATAACATAACGTTTAATTCCATGAGCAGTCGCAGCCAACGATAATATATTGCGTTTTAAACTCAAAACAATGCGATGTTTCTCAAAACAACATAGAAACTGAAAGGGAATATATAGGTTAATGTCTTGTTTTTCTCGTACAACACATCCAACTGAAGGGAAGTGCCAATTTACTTTAAAAAAACACCCCTGGTAAAATAAAGATAGGTTTTAAAAACAGACAATGCACGGAACTTTGTCGTTTTTAGATATACCTCTTTTGAAATATGATATTATAATTGCGTTGTTATCGTTCCCAATACAGACAAGTCAACCTCTTATTGCTTCTCTACAAAAGAAAAACAACTAAATTTGAAAATCCAAATGCTATTATTCGATTTAATGATTATCATTTCAATATATTTCTCTCATAAATACTAATAAGTATAAAAGAAGTATAATACCTTTACCCATACCTGCACTCGGCATGTTGTTCGTGATATCATTTCTTTAGTTAAAAGTGAAAAACACACAGACTTAGCAAGTTAGCATAGTATAAATAAATCCAACATGGTTTGAATGAGGAACCAAAACTTAATAATAATAGCATTTTGACATAAAAGTGACATAAACATAATAGTGAGAAATTTGCAATCGTACCAGGGCTCTGTTTTATAAAAAATAGGTCATCAATAACAAGTGCTAAATTTTTTCTCAGCCAATTAATACCACGATTTAACTAACTTTAAACGGTTATTGTTACTTGTTATTGATAACAAGTTTTATGAAACGGGGCCAAGGTCCTTGATTAAACAGTGCATTTCAGTACAGGTCATGAAACTTCATGGTGAAAACAATTGTGGAAATAATTTTTTGATGGGGAATTGTGTAGTGATTAGGGATAATTTGGTGAGAGAATTAACACAATTATTTTGATCTTACTGATAAACGCAATCAATGAAATGCACTTCACTATATATGTATAATGATGCAAACAAATTATATGGCTAATGACAATACACTATTTATAGTAATAATTGTTTGTGATATGAGAGCATTTCGTGATCACATATGGCTCCCATGATGTTCTTTATTTATTTTATTTATTTATTTATTTTTCTGATATTTATACAGGTTGGCACATATCACCAATTTGGTGGTTTCCATGAGGCTCTGTTTGGTAACAATAAACAAATAACAGCAGCAAATACAAAATAGATAAATACACAAGCAAATAAACAGGTGAAATACAAATTAATTGGTATCCCCATGATATAACTGAATATTCAAGAATTATCCTTAATCACTTACAAGAAATAAGTGAATAGAATTTTCTATTTAAATAGAAAATACTATTTTAAAAAAATGAAAATAAAATCAAGAATAGAATGATAACCACGTATTTAAAAGAAAGAAAAAAATAATTGAAAACGTTCATTTTATAATCGGATATAGCTTAACACACAGGATACTAAAATTGTTATATACATATTTACATTCAATTGCTCTTTAACTAGTACACTTAGGTTGTTTACAAGATAGCTAAAAATGGATATATTACATGTATGAATACATGATATGACGATAATCATGTCAATCAAATTTGATAATTTTGCAAATAGGAAAAAATGGTTAACTTCGCACAAAACCCCCCAAAGTTCACTTACACGTCATCTTCGATGTGATAAATCATGAACGGTCACAAATATTTTCATTTTATTTTCGGTATGCCTATACACTGCAATCGTTTTACAATGATTTTGACAATGTGTTTAGAAATACATATAAAAGTACTATGTTCACATACAAAACACCCCATCACAGCAAATGATCAGCACGGCAAATGTCTATCGTGTGCCTCGTACAATAATTGCGTGTTTCGGATCACTCAACGTCCCTCTACGTGCAGGAGAAATGCCTCCCAGTCGGTTACTGCAGATGGGGCCTGGGGGTGTTTCACAAAGAGTTAAGTTAAAATTAACTCCAATATTATGGAGAGCCATTTGTAGCCTTAAAATAAAATATATTCAAAAGCAAAAATTGAAGTATTTTAGACTTTACAAAAATTCCACATCAAGAACATGAAATCTCCTGAATAATAGAATATATGAATGATTTGAATCATCATTTTACGCCTCTTAAATTAACTTTTACAAAATATTTTCAGTGATGCTAACGGCTATCCATAATGTTTAAGTCCAACTTAGAGATACGTTCAACTTGGGATCTTTGTGAAATACCCCCAGGTCCCCAGTAAAATAACGACCCCACTCCCGTTCAAAATGCTGTAGCAACACGCTCTCTTGTTTAGTTAATGGGCGAAGATGTGGCCTGTCCCCAGTAAGGTGACCCCTCCCCTCCCCACGTTTAATTTGTTCTAGTGAAGTAGCGATGCTCCTGCTGTATTGCTTAATAGGCAAAGATGAGGCCTGTTAATGTCCCCAGTATGATGACTGTAATCAAGAAGGCGACGATGTCGATGAACACAAATATCCGGAGCTTCTTAGATTTAGAGCGCTCTCCGTCCTGAATATTAATAGGAAATGTAAAGGAAGTGAGAGAAAGAAAGAGAGAGAGAGAGAGAGAGAGAGAGAGAGAGTGGGGTGGGGGCAAACAAAAAAGAAACATGAACAGCATAAAACTGGTTTAAAAAGAGAACACAATACATTTCGAATACTTTCTATTCGGCCCTATAGTCGGTTCCATCGGTCAATCACACCAAGTCATGTCGTGGTGCAGATGCCTACTTTCGCGGAAGTGTATACGTGAATCATAGAAGTTTTTCTTTTCTTTTCTTCCGAAATCCAAATATATCCATACAAGTTTTAAAACATACTTATAAAACACATTTCGAATGATAAGAAAGTAAGTAAATGTGTAAAGCATAGACAGCCCATTTCAGGACCATTTTCAAAATGGTCCTGTTCTTCCATGGGGTCCAAAAGCAATAAAATCATATTATTTTACATACAATATCATTTTTTTTAAAATCATAGTAATTTACCAATACACTATCCCCCCTATCGACCCCCTCGCCTCACCACCCCCTCCCGCCACCCTCTCGATATTGACAACCCCTCCCGCTACCCTCTCCCAAGTCCTCCAGAGGTTTTTCTGAATTTTGCCCCCCCCCCCCTTCTTGGTCAGGGAATCCTAGATCCGCCATTATCGGGGCATATTTAGTTAACCCTCAGCATCCCACATGACCCCCCCCCCCCCCAACTAAAAGGAAAAAATGATATAGACTTTCTTGGGGAAAATGGAAAGGGGTTCATTCTCTGGAATCTCAATCCTTGAATTAACAGTTCGAATCCCAACTCAACACTACCAAGATATTCATCCATTTGCATTTATTTTGCTACTCTTCACCCAGGTGAAAATGGGTACCTGGCAATTTCCGGGGTAAGAATAGTTGCTAGGCCCATATAGGAAGGGCGGTATTAGTGATGTGGTGGGTTTTCTGGGTAAACAAGACCAAATTAGTATTTATTATCATCATCATTCTTGGTTTCTTGAGCGTAGAACGACTCCGCCCCATTCTGGGTATAACTGCCCACAACCAATGTTAATGTAAGCCTTACACGATTGCATAACTTTCCAAAAATCAACCTAAGCCTTGGGCGTCACCTACTGAAATCTGCAAACATGACAGTGACAAATGACGTACCCCGAAAATATAATTATATGCAATATAAATAGCCTACTAGGGTATTGAAATGCTCTACATGCTCTGATTTCTCGAAAGTGTATGCGATCATGAATTCAAGTTATTCCCCTCACATTTAAATGCACTGGGTGCTCCTTGGGGTAGCAGCGGTGGACGAGGCCGTTGATGATGATGACGACGGCGGTGACCGTCATCCCTCCCATGAGGAACCGACCTAGTTTCGTCTCCGGGAAGTTGTCGACCTGTGCGTTGAGTGCTACCGACAGCACAACCAGGGCTACGATGATAAAGCCCCCGAAGATGATCCGTATTCCAGCCGATGACGGGCCGACCAGGAAGACTGTGAGAATCAACCACGTGGTGATCATGGAGGTAACCCAGAACGCGCTAGATTTGTCTTCAGCTGTGGGGGGGGGGGGGGGGGGTGATCGAACCAAAAAGTTTATCAGAATAGTAACAAATAAAACATTTACACATGACTGCCAAGCCTTACGAAAAAATCAACTAATGCCTGAATTACATTTGATCTGCGATTAGTCTACTCTACGGAACCCGTATCCTGCCCGTATCCCTTTTCCGTGCGGCCTCCGTACGGAAGCAGGAGGCGGCCGTGAGATCTTCGTACGGATTCACGGGCTCCGCGGCCTCTACGATTTTGTTTCGCAGAAAGTTATACAAATTTGAAAAATCGTAAGCCCATAGTCCATAGACATGTCTTAGGTGTCATTGCACGATTCCCGCACGGTCATCGCGCGGAGGACTCACGCTGTTCGTGCAGCTAACGCACGATTTTTCGGTGAACATGGAGACAAAAAACGCTTAAAAACGGCACGGCGGCTGCACGGTCACCGCGCCTTCTCCGCGCAATCTTCGCACGATTTCCGTGCGGAGGCTACGTAGACTGCCCGGCTACTGCATTGAAATTGCACGATTTCCGTACAATCTCCGAGCAGCCTCTGTACGGATTTGCCCCGGCCTGCCCCCGAGGGCCAATACAAAAAAAGGCACGATGCTCGTAGATAATTTAAACACAAACATCATATAGTCCGTAGCCTCCTACGATGCCCCCCAAATCGCACAAAAAATCGTAGTCTAATTTATCGTACGGTGTCCGGGGCAAACGTAATCCAGGCATTAGTCAACGTCAATATCACTTGCAGTGACGTATTCATTTTCTGTATTTCTTCGTTCTATTTGAATTGGTTTTTTAATTTATTTTTCACTATATTTTGTATGTCCCTTATCGGGACCATGATGAAAAACAGGTTTACTGATCATGTTCAATAAATACATAGATGAATTAATAAAGGAATTAATAAATTGATTAATGAATTAATCTGAATTTTCTATGGGATATACAAAATTTGAAACAAAAGGGTATTATTTTGGCCTCAAATTTATTATTCAGCTTTTCTTTACGATTTAAAAAAAAAATCATGGTTATATCGTATCATTGACAATAAGAAGAAGAAAAAAAAATCGATGATGATAATCATGAATTGATATGATTATTAATTTATCATCACATGTACTGTGTTAATTTATTAAATATATAAGTGGTTATCAAATCCCCAAATTTGAGGACAGAAGTTGATGATACAGGAATGGTAATAAAACAGTGTGTAAATAGAGTATTAGAAAATGTTCTTGGCATTGGAAATTACAATTTTTAAAATCATTTGAAAAAAAGAAAAAGAAGGAATAAAAAGAATCAATAGCTCACTGAGGTCACTCGCAAATGTTACTGCTATCATAAGGTATCTTAGAAAAATATAGTGGCTAAAAAAACGACGCGCCCGGAATGCATAATGCATAATAGTGATGTTTGTTATTCAAGTTATTTTTTGGACCTAATTCGATGAAATTTTAGCTATCATACAGATAGTATTAAGTACTGTTAGTATTTTCTAAAGTTAGGGTTCTACCTCTGTGTGATACAAATTCGAAGTTCAAGGATAATACTGTTTGCATTTCGGACGCGTCTTTTCATGTCATTACATTTCCCTAAGCTACACTGTACCTGAGGATAATTCGATAACTATATCTTAATATGTTTACCTTGATTAGATGCGTGTACACGTCCTCCTCCTCCTCCTCTATTAACAGAATATGATGGATGCATGCTCCCATGCATCCCATCATCCATTCCAACGGCGGAGACGATTCGACCATGACCCTCTCTTCTCCTGACAGTCAAGGAGTAAGTAATATCATCGTATACCTCTTCGCAGCATACGAACTCACGAGTGTGCTTAACAGCCGAGGTGTTGAACGGCTCCCAAAGAGGGTTTTCACGGTATTCATCGAGATGCATTGTATCTGATGTCGATCGGAGGGATATTCTACTTGTATCAAACATCCCATATCCATAAACTAGCTGGCAGGTCTGCGGAATTCAGAAATATTTTGTTAATGAATGATAATAACTGCTCTTGCTATAGCACATATCGCATTATGATATAATGTGCCTATATCCCGCCCCCCCCCCCCACTCCGAGATCGGACGGACCCCATGCGTGTTACCAAAATGTCCGGTAAAGGGGTACTTTTCGTGCGACAAAGTCCGGCCCGAGAATTGTAAATAAAGGGGTGTATTAACTTTTCACCCGGAGATTTCTTTAAAAAGCGGGTGTTTTTTCTTTTTGTCTCTCATCTCTTTGAACTCCTGAGAAATTATTCCGAATTTAGGGGGGTACATTGAGCATTTTTCATGATTTATGGGGGGGGGGGGGTCTCCAAGGCAGGAAAAGCCCGCGAAAGGGGGGTTCGGAAATGTTGGCAGTCCTCAGATAGGGGGTGCTTTCAAAAAGAGGGAACAAGCATATGCGTACCCTAAATAACACTGAGTGGGGGGGCGGGGCCTATATGAGCTCCCAAAGAAGTTTGATATAACACTGTTTTTTAGCTCTGGCAGACGTAGTCAGCGCACAGAGCATTTCAAGGAATAAATCCTGCCAGGTATAACACTTAGTTGGAGAGTGGCAAATGTCGGTTAAAGTATTGCCAATGGACGTGAGTACCGGGCTGGGATTGAGGTGAATCTACTATACCAAGACACATCCACAATACCACGATACTTTGTTGAAAATATTCAAAAGATAAATATGACTATTATTTTCTTGAATTACTTGTGCTTATAATATTGTATCATTTTAAACTCTTTCCAGTCAGTTGAATATTATATATTGTTGGTGTTTTACAGGATATAGGCTATAAAGACAGTATTTAAAACAGTACCGAAATATCTGAATTCACAAATAGCTGCATGTCCATTAGACAACGGATAATGAATTCCATAATGTGTTTATTCATTTATCCATTGTTGTCATGCTAACGCAATAGCTCTCACATATCTTATTGTACTTTCGATTGTTCTATGTAATAGTGTGCACCACGTTTCAGTAATTTATATAACTAAACATCCATTACATCAAATAACAACTATGAGAACGCAATGAGGACGCCATGATGAGTCAAATAACAACTATGAGAACGCAATGAGGACGCCATGATGAGTCAAATAATTAACAACTATGAGAACGCAATGAGGACGCCATAATGAGTCAAATAACATTATGTGAACGCAATGAAGACGCCATGGTGAAGACTACGATCATTTCGTTAACATATTTAAGGAATTCTTGATGCACTGATCGCTGATCAACAGTGTTACTGTTAAACGTTGTAACATAAGTTACCAATGCGACCGACAGGGCCTTGAAATAGTTTGTCGGACCCTTCCCCATGTCCCCGGAAGCGTCTCGACCTTTTCGTTTTTACCTGGGTGTCGTTGGGGTAGTCTTTCAAGTCAAGGCTACAGTCCGCTTCAATCTTCATGGATGGGTGATAGGAGATAGATCCATAGCTGTACACGTGGGCTGAAAAACCTTTTAGCATCTCACTTGGCGAATTACTATAATTATAGGAGAATAGAATAAACGTGTAAACAACGCCATAAGCCAGTTTCTGGTCATTGTACATGTTCATAGTGCCTTTGAAATGCACTGAAATGTCCAATAGCAAACAAAAATCTTAATAGTATCCTTCTACTGTGATGTATTCAGTGTTTATAGTCGAAATATAAAATATTGTATTTGTATTTGGCTGACAAGCTATCATGTGACACCTAATAAATTGTTCTGTGTTAAGCCCGTTGTATCACTGTCAGAAGGAAGTATAATTTAAAACAAAATCAAGTCAAATCAAATCAAAATAGAAACACTGACATTGCTAATCCGAATTCCTTATATAATAACCCAAACTTTTGATTGACCTCTGACGTATCATTGACCTCCTACTCAGCCTAACGGTCTACAATCTACCCTACTTATCAATTTACCATTGAAATACTATTCATCTACCATTAAAATACTATATACTAATGTACCATTGAACTTTTTCTAATGTAACATCGAACCACCGTTAATTGCCCATATACACTTCCACATGTATACCATTCAAATACCATGTACGTGTACATGTATTGACCATTGAATTAACTTTGATTTACCATTGTACTACCACGCATATACCATCGGAATACCACGTATTAACCAATGAACTATCATTTATCTACCAGTGAAGTACCACCGATCTACAATGTCCATATCAATGGTCCTATTATGGTTAAATGCCTACCTGTTGTATAGACTTATTTCAGGAATCCAGAGTTTTGATGAAGGGATCAGTATATCACTTATGTTTCCATATTGTGCCGGATCCCATCGCAAACGAAAGTCCTTCCACATCTGGAAAAAGAAAACATACATGAAGTGAAAACAGTAAAAGGACGATTTGGTGAGATGTGTCTTGTACGATAGATGAAAACCTTGATATTTACCACGGAGCATTGGTTGATATACGAGAAAGGCTATTTCAAAAAAGTTTTTTTTTTTTTTTTTGGGGGGGGGGGGGGGGAGAAACAAATGGATAGAAGCCTTAGCCTATGTCGTACGAGACACATCCCAAGGAATCACCATATATATGTATACAAGAGAATTCATTTCCATCTATAATGTACAAAATAATGATGGATAATTAAGGCTCGTTAAAGGTAAAGATCAGTTCTGGTCATGCGATTGCATTGTGAAAGAAACGTTGTGGAATCGATCATAAAAGGTTGATCATCTAGCATAATTGGTGTGTACTGCAAGGTTCTGGAATCACAAAATGATAAGAATATTTGGCCCAGTCTTGGTAAAGTTACAAGCACTGTACACAGAAAGGTGTATATGGGACTACGCGACACATGCGCGATATCTATCAGGTCCAAATAGATATAATAATTTACCAAATATATCAATTAGTATAGGCGGTTTCCCGGCAATATTTTGTATCATCACGTATTAGTCAAAACATATTCTTTCACATGATTGTTAATAAGAGCTTCCATTTCATTTTTTGAGAGGGGGGCGTTTCCACAACTAGTCTTTACCTTTAAGATATGAAGCGGTAAACCGCCACAAAACACCGTCTCGATGTTTTTTACAGGCGTAAATGAATGGTAACTGCGCGTATGAGCTCTGTGTTATAAGATACAGAAATATTTATATACACGTTACGTCGTCATGAAGAACAAGCCTTTTTTCTGCTCGTTTTTAAATCGCGCATGGCGGCGTAAATCTTGAAATAGAAATGTTAGTGATAGACCAACTGTGCATAGGGCAAATAGGCTGTAATCTATTCCTTTTCTTGAATAGTTCACTTACCATTTTCAACGTCACAGTCATTTGAATGGTTCCTTTGTAAAAGTCCTGCAACAATACAGAATGATAATAATAATACGACTTTGTTACATAATGATTTAATTGAAAGACCATGTCATGCTTTCACGAAACCGTCATCATGGTCAGAGTTTGCCGACATCCCATTGAATCGCGTATATTAAATTTAAAGCTTTTCACCACTAGTGTGGCTAGGAGGGATTAGACCACACAGCGAGGTCACTGACAGGTGGCTATCTCATCAACTCAGCTCTCAAATAACATAAGAAATAGAGGATCATGGGGGACAAACAGGCACCGATTGGGGAAGTTTTCTATATAGAGGGAGCAAGTAGCTACAAGTAGGACAGTGGGGCTTTAATGCTTGTTTATAAACCTTCGGAGGTCGAGGGTTCGAATCCCAACACGGCACTAATATCCGTTGGCAAGATATTAATCTGCACTTGCTACTCTCCACGGGTGTTGAATATTGGTCAAACATTTTCGAGCGTCAAGTAACGCCTGGCTGGAATACTCCCTAGGGAGTGGATATTGTGCACACAGTGTGCGCGGGCAGATATTGAATCCAATGACGGGGGTTATACGGTAGTGTATTTTTAAAGAGCTTAGAGACATCGTAGATGTATTAAGCGCTATATAAAAGCGAAATATTATTATTAGTATTATTATCATTTATTGGGATGTGGGTGAAGTTGCGAAGTATTAGTGAATCCTTCGTAACCGGATGCGTGAAGAAAGCTTTTATAGATGTACATGTAATTGTAAATGTGAATTTATAACGAGCTTCACGAGACCAGTAAGACTCGGTAACTTATTTTGATGGACAAAATCTTACCTATCGTTTTAAAACTTTATTGCTTTCCATCTTTGTTATTTGAATAACTGTTCTCAATACTTTAGCCCATGTCTCATTCGAACTGCTGAAATCTGGGCCAATTTCAAAATACTTTCAACAAAATGTAAATGGCGTATACAGCATAAGATGAAGCCGGCATATGCCTCCCTTTTTAATACGCAGAGGAAACTTGTACTGTATTGCATGTGGGGCAGCCCAAATTTGGTACATTATGTTCCGTCATATTGGGAGGAGTTTGCCGCCCATGTTTTTATCCATTCCTGGATAGACCTTTTCCTTGCAGTTACAGAAGCGCTTCACAATTTTCTCCACAACGTAGTACGAGGCACACAATGCGTCATTGGGACTTTTCGATTTGCACGACGAGAACGTGGACTGCAACGTGTGACATCCTTTTAAGGCACTGCCAGTGCCTTAAAAGGAAGTCACACGTCTACGTCCACGCAAATCGGAAATTCCCTATTTTGCTGACTTTGCACTGCGCCAACGATTGGCACTGTCTTAGGCGCGCAACCTGAGAGTGACATCATACAGAAGTGAATGCAAAATGATTAATTTAAATACTGATTTGGCTTATTGGCGTATGGCTATGCATTATTTTTAGAGGTTTGATTAGTGTAGACGCAATCAAAACGACGCATCGAAAGGGCGCCTTGTATGCACTAGGTAAAAACTTGAATGGGATTGACGAACCAGTTTATTCAGCTTCTCCAATGAAAGACTCATATCGACCGTCGTGCTTTCCCCATAGCTTGGCGGGAGATCCTTGTCATAGTAGGAGAACAGATCTCTATTTAGACTAGCTCCACTTGCTTAATAGTTAGTAAGAAATCAAGAAAATGCATTTATTAGGCATATAATATTGTTACAATTTATGGCTCGATGTTACATTTTTTTGTAATCATTATTTGCAGGCGGAGGGGAAATAATGATTTCAAAAAAATAAATGCCAAATTAACATCTTTGGGAAAACACAACGGTGACGGGACTATACGCTCTGGCGAAATTTACTCCAGACTCTAAATCGTCAGAGGTATATAGGGTAAGGGCTACTGTTGGGTTTTGCGGGAGGTTTATGTTCAGAATTAGGGCTAGGTAAATATAGAGTTTAGTTCAGGGTTAAGTTAAGGATTCGCTCAGGGTAGAACATTTGATAGCGAAGCCATGTTCGCCACAGCGTTGTGTCACCCACCCTTCAAATTTATAAAAAAAGATGAAGTGGTAGACTTGATTTCTTTCGAACCTTGGAAATGGAAAAAGGAACTATTAAACTGCGGATTTAATAATAATAATAGTTCGTTCTTATATAGCGCTTTTCAGGACCGCAGGCCCTCTCAAAGCGCTTTACATATATATTATTATGAAGCCCTTTGGTAGTGATTTTCTTAATTAAGATATTACAAGTTCGATGTGGGAATGTCTACGATTGATTCAAATGGTCATTAAAAGATTTAATATATAAGAGACTAACATGAATATGATCAAATGGCAGCAGAGTTGATTTAAATTTTAAGGAGATCACGTAAATTCATCCAACTTACCATACTGAGCCGTTGTGATGGTCAGCATTCCCAGAAAAGAAAGGAACAGATATTCCCAGGAGAAACTCATGGTTAAAGATGTAATCTAGGGAAAATAAAAATCAATGAAGAGGAAACATTCAATGTAAAAAAGAAAACAACAAGTAAGACTAAATTTGCACATAATCTTCTGGTAATAGAATACAAAATACATCTTAAAACTAAGATTTTTAGCGAAAGCAATAGATTTTTCGACCAATTTTGCAATTTCGTCTGTCAAATCAATCAAACGTTTGTTTCAACTAAGCAACAAAAAGAGTTGACAAAAGACTTAACTCCGTTTCGTTGACAATCGGTCATGCACAAAAAAGACGAAAGACTTGATGCATGGCTAATCGTTAACGAAACGGAGTTAAGTCTTTTGTCAATTATTTTTGTTGCTACGGCAAGCAGCCAGTGAAAACGAACTCGTTTGATCAAATTAAATAAAAAATACAGGCATTACTTTAAACAAACAGAACTTTGTTATTCCTGGCTCTTTTTTCCTGATTGAGGTGTCATATGAAAGGGCAGAAATTGAACTTTCTAGAAATATAATTTTCTCTTTGAAATTCAGATACCGCCCCCAAATGACTTTTTGGTTTCCTCTCTTCAAATTGTTTGTAATCACTCATGCGTGAAATGTACATCATATGAGTTGCATCAAATGAAAGAGGAGGATCTAAGCTTTACAAATAAGTATCATTTATTAATTACAATTGTGATTAATTTGATGATAAAACATCGGTAATTCTCGGTTCATTTTTTTCTGGGACGCACTGTATAGTCAAGCAACACATTGAGCATAATAGTTGGTAAGTTTGTGTGTTTGATTGTGACGATTCAATTATACACATCATACAGGGAGACCACGCATAGGAAATTCCGCAAATCTGACTTTTTTTTGGTTTTTGTTTGTTTGTTTGTTTGTTAAAAGTAAAATCTTTCATATTATAGTTGAATCTAAACTTCTTGCGATATTTGAGTTGAACTTAGGTTCCCTCTATATTGACTCACACTGAATAGATACTACATCATGGTCATATTTGCTCTAAGGGGATAATTAATTATGTCGATTTTAATGCATACTAGCACTTATTTTTGTCCTCCATAATAACTGCGACCAGCGTTGATTGGAATATAATGATACTCTGGGGGTTTTGAGGGAGAAAGAAAAAACTGTAATCATTATTCCAGAATGTTCACCTGCTGTGGTGCTTCGTTTGGGGCGTGTGTTTGCCATTGTCATTATCATAAATTGCGTTATGAATTATGATAGTGTATCGGCGGGGGGGGGGGAGTGAACAAACACGTGTGCATGACCAATTATCAAAAAAACTTTTCCATTTCCACTTGCATTCACTAGCTTTAAAGTGTTACTACTACTACTACACACACTACTACTACGTCTACTCCTACTCCTATTCTAATACTACTATTACTCCTACTCTATGTCGTCTCCTACTACTTTTACTACTACTACTACTACTACTACTACTACTATAATACTACTACTACTATTACTACTACTACTACTCATGTCTACTCCTACTCTTACTCCAATGCTGATGATGATAATGGTGGTAGTGGTGCTAGGAGGGGATATTTTTTACCTAGTAACTCCCAATAGACCATTATCATGCTTCACCCATCACCCTTCTCACCCCTCCCTCATCTACGACAACATGACGGTGCTATAATGTCAAAATATGATGCATTACACTGTTGTATATACATAGGTCCATGGTTGTACTCTATATAGCGTAATGTAATTTCAATGCAAGAATATATTAATGCCACCACTCACTCATATAATAAGGGACGTAACCTATACTCACGGTCAGTATATGTATGTATTATTGCTCAGCTCTGCATCCAATGTCCTGTGCGGCGTATCTTCAAGTGTTTGGTGTGTATCCCCAAAGGCGCGTCCCTGAGTAATGATAATTATCTTGTGCATCAAACCATATCCCTACCGTACTCAGATATATACCACTGCTTTCCAGTTCACCGCTCGAGAAAGTGCTTTGAGAAACAGCTAGTGGGTTTATATCAACAAAGGAGATCTACTACCGTCTATACAGTCTGTAAACGACTTCTCCTATGAGAGTGACCTCATAATAATTGTTCTGTGAAACTGTGTGTGGGGGTTTGACTTGATAGCACGGGCCCATCTCTTTTTCTTGACAGCTCTAATTACATGACCATGGGGAATATAATACCAACACACACACACACACATACACACAGAATACGATGCAAGTAAGAAATCGATATGACCCAGGACTGTATTCATTTAAAGGAAGGTCATCTCCTATTGCCATGAATAAATGTAAACTAGGAACGCATCAGATACAAATTTGGATGTTATACTCAGTAAGGGCACTTATCTTGTTCTCTGGGGGAAATTGGAGAATCGATCAGACCCCCAGTTTCGCCCCCTGCAATAATGAATTATATTGAAATGTAAAATGAGGATGAATAGAGAACCGAAGTTGTGACATCATTAAAATGTATTTTTAGAATTTCTCAATTTGTTCTTTATTTTCCGAAAGAGCATCAAAAATAATGTCCAAATCTCGAAAACCAATTGAATATATTAAATATTGACTGATATGACAAACTGAATAAAAAGATTGCCTATGCGGAACTTAGTGTTATTTTGCTCTGGCTCCTAATGATTAGGAGTCCCTAGTTTACATTTGTTCATGGCAATAGGAGATGACCTTATATTATTATAATCTCTTTCGAGAGTGAAAGGGCAGCTATAATTCTAATTGAATTATTTGTCGCGTCAATGTTTACGTTCAAAACACTTCCAAAAACGTCCGAGTGAAAATGTGCTATTCTGCCCTCTACGTCAAATGTCAGTTACTTTTACAATAATGAAGACGTGACATTTGAGTTGCAAAATCATGGGGAGGGGGAGAGGTGGCTTAGTTACGTAGCCAAAATGGAGTGAAGCTGTGATACCTTTTCCGTTTAAAGGTTAACCAACTTCAACAGCAGCAGCAGCAACAACTACAAGAAAACAAATAAACAAAACCTAACATTCTACAACACGTTTGGCTGCCATGATACATTACGACCTACTCTTCTCTGGAGTACCCCTCCCTGTTTAGTTTGTTTGTACTTACTTCGCAATTAGAAGGGGCCAACTCCAGCCCCCCCCCCTCCCCATTCCGGGGTCGGAATGACCGCATGCGTGTTACCAAAATGTCCGGTATAGGGGTACTTTTCACGCACCAAAGTCCGGCTCGTACATACGCAAAATTGACTTTACACACCGGACTTAGGGGGTGTTTTCAAAAAATATCACCTCTTGCGCATAGTTTTAACCAGAACCTCTCAAGACAGTGTATATTTGTATACTATAGCTACACACCTAGTCCATGTTTACTTTTTATAAATATCAAATAGTTCAGTCGAGCTAGTACGATTACAGAATGGAGAAGAAAAAGAACGATACAAGACATCATTACTCATCCCATGTTTAGCACGTCATATAACCAGTGGGAATGCAATCTTACTTGTTTTCATCATGGGCTTGTCAATGCATTATGACCCCGCCCCTCTTCTTCAAAGTTGACACGGGGATGCAGAAACATACGACCCGAGATTGATTATCGTTTGATGAAACCAGCGTGTTGACTGGTTTCGAACGATCATCCCACCAGGTAGATCGAGTCATGGATAGGGCAAAGCGTGTCGACTGGATCGGTGGAAGGGACTTATGATTGGGTGTGACAGACAGGGTTCATCCCTCTCCCTATGCTCCGCCCATAGGCCTGGTGATGACGAAGCTAAATAAGAATCGGATTAATTACTGTCATGACGTCATGGGCATGGCTGTTGGTGGCGCCGACTGCGCATATTGTTTTTTTAATACACAACTGTTTAGCCGGTACAGTCAAATATACTATGCAAACGACTAGAGACAGAGTCTAACATTACCCTTAGTAGTATTTTTGGATTGCTGGAGCTGTACATGTAGTACTCGTTATCTGTTTGTTTCTCGTTAAATTTATCCTCTTCTCTTTCGTCATGTATTTCTTTGTGTTTTCCTTCAATCTAGGCCTATCCTTTATTTCTCCTTCGTTATGTATTTCTAAATTGTTTTTCCTTCAATCTATCTTTCGTTCTCCTTTGTTATGTATTTATTTTGTTCTCCTTTATTCTATCCTCTTTCTCTATCGTTTTTATTTATTTATTTGTTTCTCCGTCTATCTATATCCTTTTCTTCTTCGTCATCTATTTCTTTGTTTTTACTGGTAGAATTCAAGGTGTTGAATGGATAGGTGGAAAGGGTTGGTTGGGTGCAACGGGGTTCATTCTTCGCACAGGGCTCCTTCCAAAAGCCTACACATTGAGGAACTGCTGGCTGAATACGGTTGGGGGCGGTCGGGGTGGGATGGGGGGGGGGGGGGGCTTACTTAATGCTAGGAAAAGGATCTACTGCGACTGGATGCGTTGAAAGGGGGCTGATGAGGTGCCACGGGCTTCATCCCTCGCACAGGGCTCCGTCCAAAGGACTAAACATTGGTCCAGTAATACATATTGAGGAGAGGTTAGCTGGATACGATTGGGGGCAACGCCCATGGGTGTCGATTTGTAACTGATACCTATTCATCAGGGGGGATGATCTATTCATTCATCCCCCCCTGATGAATAGGTATTACGTAAGGATCGACACCCATGGCAACGCCCTTACTAAAATGGTAGGACAAAAGGTGTCGATTGGATGCTTGGAAAGGGGTTGATGATTGATTGATTTATTTTATTTATTTATTTATTCGTCCACAGTGTGGAAATATGCTTCCCACCAGCATTACACTAATACAAGAAACAGAGTACAATAATATCAAGTACCACATGGTTCATCCCTTCCCTAGAGATCCGTCCATAGGCGTATTGGTGTAGGTGGTCGTCGAAGGTAAATTATATGACGTCATGTAATTGGAATTACGATTGTAGCTGGGGTGCAATGAATAAAGTGGGGGGGGGGGGGGGGGGGACATCGTTCTTTTATAACGGATGGTATATGCCTGTGAGTAATCAAGATCAAATTATTTTGGGAAGAGTTTGGAAGGGGTCCTATAATATGCATTCGTCCCTTTACCCCTCCCCCACTTTTTCCTTCCGTGCCCTTCACCCCGTAGCTACACCAATAGTGTAGTTTAGTGATCAGGTAGTGATCATGTTGATATCTGGATATTGGCTAATTTATTCATGAAAGATGGACTGGGAAAATCTCTTTAGATTTTGTTGTTGAATAAAATGAATTGATTGGTTTGCTACTTTGCTGTTTCAAGGTGAGATGTCATTAAAAGATTCGAACCAAGAAAAGATGAATTTATTAGACCTAGTTTAATGTTCTATCATGGGTGATGGCAGGTGCAAATAATCTCTTACTTTTCCAATACCTTATAATCGTATCAAAACGTCCCCTCACTTTCCCCAGACGATTGAGATATTAATTAGTGCATGATGTTTGATGTGATTACACTCAGATATCTATGCGGTATGTACATGGGACTCCATCACTCGCATATCTGATAATAGGCAGATTTATGTTGCATTCTTCTTCATATACTCTTTAAACCATGTATTGTAATAATTTTTGTAACTTTCATTGTTGTTTAGTTTAACATATTGAAGTCTCCAAATCTTCCCGATATCAAGGAAATTCATTCTCCCGGCAGTCGTTATGTTTTAAAGTCTTCAATGTCATTTCATCTGCAAACGTTTTCGTTTATTGAGCCAAATTGGTTAAGGAAACTAACACATCTTTTCATTTCCTTCAAATTGCTTTCCTTCAGTAATCCATTCTGACACGAGACTTTCAAAACGGTACGTGTTTATGATCACGACCGAAATCCTGAGTGGAGTATCTTGTGACACACACTAACAAAAAACAAACCACGTGATCTCTAAATCCACCAATCATGAATGGTCGAATCTATTTTTTGAGTAGGTGATACGTTTTCCTCGCGTTGTACGAGCAGTGCCTCACCCCGGTACTCCGATGTGGTTAGGACGGGGTGGTGCGGCTGAACCCCCCCCCCCCCGCCCCCCCCCCCGCCCCCACACACCAACTTATACGTTCAGTATTTATATGGTGGTTTGGACAGAAAAGCAATTTTACATCTGATATGTTCTGAAAAAATAGTAACACACACTTTTAAAGCCAAGTGAGACCATTTCAGGGATTTCCAACTCATAATCATACCCCATGTTTAGGGATTTTTTAAAAATCATAACAGCGACCCATTTAAAGCGGCTCATCCTTGTAGATAAGCAAGTAATCCAATTTGGCGTTCATATACTTTTTAATTTTATGATTAACATTCTGCTCGAAATCAACAGAATAAAGATTACTTATTTTTAAAAACATTGTACTTGGAGGATATTTCCTTCACTTTTGAAAGTGCAGGAAGAAAAGAAGACTGAATAGAATAAATATGGGGAGGAGTAAGAGGACGATAGTGAAGTTGATGAAATTAAAAAAAAAAAATCAAAATAAAGAAGAGAAGAGAAGATAGATGACTAAGGACCCCCCCCCCCCAACACACAAAAAAAAAATATTAAAAGGAATTATATTTTAAGTACCGAGAAGTGATTTGACAAAATTGTAGTCTACAAATGTTTTTTGTTTTTGTTTGTTTGTTTTTTATTTCAGCGTTTTCAAGATATTACATATTAATAGGCCTACATAAATAAACAATTATTTCTTCATTATACATAGTTATAAAGTTTTCGGTACATGAAATAAGATGCATATAAACACGAATATTTTTCAATGAAAAGAGATCAAGTACAAAAAACGCAGGAGATCGCCACCATGAGCGGTAAGCTTGAAATGCGGTGCATGGCGGTCTCGGGACAATTAGCGGCATAATAACTTTTAAATTATATTTATTGTAAGAGCGAAATTGATTAAGTGGGTGCAGTTCAGGTGCATATGCAATTGCAGATGGGTTTCTGGTACGTAATGTTTACTACTAGTGTAGTTTAAGAATTAATAAATACAAATTATATTTGAATTAAAAATATATTTAAATGTGATTGAGAAGAACTAAACAAAATAACAACAGCAAAACAAACAGACATTATACATGCGTACATGTTCAAACACGCAAAAAAAAAAAAAAAAAAAAAAAAAAA